GTCAGGGCTGCAGTTCCACACATTTAGCTGTAGTGATTAAAATTAGTATGCACGGTTCATTTTTTGCAATCTTCTCCTTTTTCACTCATTTGTGTCTCAAACAATCAGAACTGGATAAACAGCTTCCTATTCTTCCTGTATCATTGTAATATTCTCTTAAATTCCAAAGGAACGATCATTTAATAATGTTCTTCAAGAAAATTATTAAAAGCCCTGAGAAGCATAATGGTTGCATGTTGAAAGCTAATGAGCACATTATATCCATGCTGCTGGTCACAGGTGAAGAAAATACAACAAGAGAAGAAAGTGGAAATGTTGGTGGACAGAGAGCTAGGAAACATTTACGACCGGATTGAGGTGGGGGAAATGCTGCAAGTGGCTCTGCTGTGCACGCAGTACCTACCAGCCCACCGCCCCAAGATGTCGGAAGTGGTCCGGATGCTCGAAGGCGATGGGCTAGCCGAGAAATGGGCAGCATCTCATAATCATAGTAATTCCAGCATGGATCTCTTTCATACTCACAACAGTAACAAAAGTAACACCCACCCTAGTAGCATTGGATCAAAACATGATGACAATGAACGTGATCGGGCAAGCATGTTTGGCACCTCTGTGGATGAGGATGATGATGAGCATTCTTTGGATTCCTATGCCATGGAGCTCTCTGGTCCAAGATAGAAAAGAAAGTACAGAGAAATAGAAAAAGAAGATTAGATTTTATTTCCTGCATTCTTTATAAGGAAAAAAAATGAAGTTAGTTCTAAGAAAGATAGGTGGTGGTTCTGTTTGGGAAACCAACTTTTCTCATTCCAGCTTTGTGGGTTATGTAAATATGACTTTATAATCTTAATTTTTTTTTTTTTGGGTGACTGTATTTTGGTATTTTAGGGGTGAAGAAAGTAAAAGGGACAAAGTGGATGCGGATTTTGTATAGGGGCATGGCATAGATACATAGAACATCATCAGATGCTCTGCTCTGCTGCCCCCTAGTGTTGAGACAGATCATTCCCAGAATATTTTTTTTGACTAAAGAGTTGGTGTGAAATTTGCTTCTGATATTTTCTAGCTGTTTGATGGTGAAAGAAACTGTCAGAGTTGAGAACTGAGAGATGAGCTGTGTGTTTGTGCAGAGGTTGTTCTCTTTATACTGCTTTTTGCAGTATCACGCGCCTCTCTCTGCTCTCAGCTACTTTGATTCTTTTAATTCAACGGGTCTTTCAAGTCCTCTCAGGGTTTTCTCTAACTTCCTCCACATCTCCATGGTTATTGCTTTTTTTTTTTTTTTGGTTTGGTTCGCCATCCAGTTTTGTTTGGTTCCGCATCCTCAAAGAATGCTCATCCAGTTCCTTAACTAATCCTTAACACAAATGCTTAATGGAGATGCTCCTAGTATTAAAATACCCTACAATATTAGAATAGTGTTTCGATACTATTCACCTCAGTCTACCTTACCTTCTGTGGGTGGGAGTGTACTAGACTATTTCAATTGAAATTGACAATATTCTGAGCGTTGTTTGGTGTGCTGAGACTAGACTCATTAAATTGGACAATAGTCCAACATGTTGTTTCTTACGAGTCCCACCTAGAGGGGTGGGACTCAGTGGCGGATCCACATAAGGGCAAGATGGTCAATTGATCCCTGCAAACCCATAAATCCACCATAGGAGGCCAAGAACTTGACCCCTGCAAATTGCCCAGAAGGTGATTGATGAAATGCCCCAAAGAGGAAGCAGTCACAGCCCACAGCCAGCAAGAAGCTTGTTGCGCGCGTGCGTAGCTCTCAGTGCTTTAATTTTTTTTTTCCTAATGTCAAAACGACGTCATGCCACTTAAGAGTTTTTTTCTAAGGTTTTTAAGGTTTTAGACATAAAAAAATTTTCACTTTTGGAAAAAGCCAAAGCTTTTTCAAAAAAGACAAAAAAACCACTCAACTTTCAAATCAAAGACATGCAAATGTATTGGATTCCTTAGGAAATCTAAAAATAAATAAGGGCATTTTTGTCCATTTTTGCTTCTTTTAAATTTTTTCTCTCTCCTTTTGTTTTTTCCAAAATGTCCCTTTTTTCTATTAAAAAAAAAAAAAAAACCTGGCCAAAATGACGTCGTTTTGGCTCAGGTGTTAAAAAAAAAAAAAAAACCTTAGGCAGGTAGCTGCTGCCCGACAAAATAGATTAGGGGATGGATTTTTAACACAATGCTCTTATTCAAACCCTAAATCCCCATCCCCAACCCTTAATTCTACCCAACCCAATCCGAAGTTATATTTGTTAGTTTGTATTAGGGGTGGACATCTTAAATCGAAATACCGTAACCGTACCCTAGCTGCACTGTACCATACCGATTTCATACCGTTTTATTTAGTATGGAGAGATATTCGGTACCGTACCAATAGAGTATGGTATGGTAGCGGTATCAAGATTTTGGTATCGGTCAATACCGTATCGTACCGAATATTATAACTTTATGTTTTTGTCATTTATGTTTAGATTGTGTTTGTATTTTTGTAAGCCATAAGACATAATTTTAACTATTTTGGTTTGTAAGCCATAAGACATGAGTTTTAACCATTTGGATTTGATGAATATGTTGATGGATAAATATTGATTTGGTTGATTTGGATATTGAATATATTGATGGATATTTAATATGTTGAATATTTGAATTTGTAACTTAGGTATCACTTATTTTGGTGTTGAATATTGAATTGGTTCATTTTTAGTTGTATCATTTTGGTACCGAAATGGTACCGATACCGATTTGGCACGATACGGTACAGTACGAATTTTGGCAAACTATAATCTCATATAGTACTATACCGATTTAAATTTCCGGTATCGGTAACGGTACGAGCTCAATACCGTATCATATCGTACCGTGCCCACCCCTAGTTTGTATTTGTAAGGAGTATTTTATTATATTATTTTTTTTTCCCAAAGATGAGTACCTGCTAAATCTTAGAAGATCGATTGTAAAGGATTTCGGGCCATGGTTTCTGCTATGTTCTTCAATTTTCTTCTTATATTAGATTCAATTGCATATTCATCCTCTTAAGCAAAGTCTATTATATCTACTCTTTTGTTTGATTAAAAAGAATTAACTGGATTAATTTTTGTGTTTGTTAGTTTGAATAAATTAGAGTTTTTTCTATTAAAAGAATTAGTTTTTTTTTATTAGATTGTATTTTTTAGTTTGTATGCTTTAATTAGATTGTATCTTGGTAAATTGGATTAATTTTTGTCTTTGTTAATTAATGAATATTCACATATATATATATATATTTTCTTGATTGGTTGTTGTTGGGATTTTATTTTGGTTAGTTTGAATAAATTAGGGTTTTGTTAGCTTGTATGATTTTTTATTAGATTGTATTTGTTAGTTTGTATGGTTTTATTTATTAACTATGAATTATAATATTATAGTTTCATTTTGATGGGTCTATTTTATATAGAATTTCTTTTAACATTTTACACGTTGACCCCCGGAATGAAAATTCCTGGATTCGCCACTGGTGGGACTCCTATCTTCTCCATCTACTCCTTTGTAGCCATGTTAATTTCAATTGAAATCCCTAGCTCTTAACCTCAGCTATCTGTTCTTCCATTATTTTTCAGAAGCACCCAAACTATCTCATACTTTAGGTCAATTTTGATAGGAGGAGTTGTACAAAGTCAATTTTGTCAATCTAAGGCTGACTTCATAATTTTACTAACCGTTACTTAGCATAATGGGTCTATGCGAAAAATTTTAAAACTTGAATGAGTGTTTGTGTAATTTCTAGAATTTCAAGGAGTTACGTGTCTTCATGAACCTAGGTACTAGTTATTTTCGATTGGGTTCAGTATTATTTTAATATATTTTTTCAGTAAGGTGCTCGGCCAAAGGCCCAAATATTATTTGACGACATTACTAATGCAAAGATTGAGCCTAAATAAATTTATTTTACTACATTACGAACACAAATGTACTTTGGTCCTTTCTCTAAGTTGAATGCGTAGGCATGCCACCATCAAAATACATGACATGTTACCCGAATGGAAGTGTGTAAATGATGTGTGTATGAAATTTGATTTTAAATCAAATGACTGAACTGCAAAGCAAATAAAGGTCTTTCATTTCCTTAAGGTAAAGGATGGTTAGATTTTTTATTTGATCTTTTTGGGTTAGGTCCCGTAGATGCAAAAGTATCTATTTTGAAGCATGAATTAAAATAGTAAATCTTTTAGCTCCTTATCGCGGTGGAGGAAAAATAGGACGCAACGAAACGAAGTGCTAGGAAGTATATAACAAGAAAGTAAAGTTCTTGAATTAAACAGGCCAAAATAAAGATAAAGAAAAATTCCAATAATAAATAGGGAGTTTCACTAAAACACCCAAAATGGGGGTTGAAATTATAAAAAAACCCAAGCACTATTTAAACATATAAACACACCCAAAACCCATCATTACACACACTCAAAACCCATTTATAAACACACCCAAAAAGTTGACTTTGGGGTTGATTTTGGGTGTGTTTCTATGTTTAAATAGTGCTTGGGTTTTTTTATAAATACATGTCTAGGATTGGGTTTATTTATAAATTTGTATAATAAATAAGATAAATAATTTAAATAATTTCAATAAAACTTAAAGCCAAATAAAAACTTAATTAAAGGTGCTAAAACTGAAGAACACCAAAAATTTTGAAGGTTGAAAGTGCTGGAAAGATAAATAGACAGAAATAAGTGATGGAAATGTAAATCTATATGCACGAAAGTTTGGTAGTAAAAGTTAAACTTGGTAAATCTAGGGGTAGTAAAATGTAATTTACCCTTTTAGCATTTTATTTCTGAAACTAGATGCACTGAAAATCCTTACAGCCCACTTTTTATTTATTAATGGGCTCAGGGTCCACCCAGAGGACAACAATGGCCCACCCACGGGCCACGGTCACAGTGGGACCGTCTTCACCAATGTCTTCTTTATCTCCCTTGTTTTGAACTCAAGCTTTACTTTATAAACTCCCAAAGCTTATACAAATTGGACTGAAGCTTTCAACTTGGAAGCTTCAGAACCCAGGAATTCCTCTAATGGCCAATCAGTCCTCCTCTTCTTACCCAATCCTTTGCGCTTCCTTCAATCAAGACACCAGGTAAACTCAAAGTTCACATTTTTTTTTCTTTCCAATTTATTTATTTTTCTGGTGGAAATTTGTAATTCTTTCGAATTTGTCAGTTGCTTTGCAATTGGGACAAAGGATGGCTTCAAAATATTCGATTCCAATACAGGGAGGCTCTGTTACGAACGAGGCAAGTTATCGAATTCATTTATTGCTTCCCAGAATCAAACTATGAAGAAAAAAAAGCACTACACTTTATTTTTCAATTTTTGTTTATATGGAAAATTATGCTGCAGGTTTTTTTTTTTTTAAAAATGATTTCTGTAGTGGGCTGTTTCCATTTTTTTTTTAATATTTACTTATTTTATTTTGTTTTTGGTTAGCTATTGGGGCTTTCGTTATTGTTGAAATGCTATTTAGCTCCAGTCTTCTTGCCATTGTTGGAGCTGGTGAAGAGGTATGTAATGTAATCAGTTAGTTGTTAGTATTGGATTCTATCATGATAAATTTACTGACATTCTGACTGCTACAGCCATCTTTATCGCCACGGCGTCTCTGTCTCTTCAACACCACAACTGGAACTGCTCTTCGAGAATTAAATTTTTTGACTTCAATACTTGCTGTTCGCATGAATAAGAAAAGGTAACACGAAATTAGTCATCATGAGCTTGTGCTACGAATTTGTCTTGGTTAATTATCATAATAATCTTTAATTCGATGTTTCAAGCTGATATATGATATATCATTTCATTTGTTAACAAAATTTTCGAGCCTAGATATCATAGCAAATACAATTGGCATATTTGGCACTTGTAGACACTTGTTAAAACAGTTATCGAGGTTCTGTACTATATAGTGAGATTTTACAAAATTATCATGTGATAATGCTCCCCCATTTTAAAGTACCGAATTATTTCGAAGTTCTACTTTGCTTAACCCTTTTTGGTTCTTCTACATGCATCTATGCAATGCAATCATATAGGTATGTATGGGCACAGCAAAAGTATGTACAAATACTTGGAAGTACATAGATTTAATGTTCTATGTACATTGTTTTCCAATAAAAAAAAAACTATAAATGCTTTATTTTTTTGATACTTTTGTAAAATCATTTAAGTGGTGCAGAACTCACTCAGCCCATTGGAGATGGTTGTTAATCTATTAAGTGAACTTCAATTTTTTCTCCTTCCTTGTTGAGGATTTTGATATGCTTTTTTGGGAAATGCAGACTTGTTGTCATTTTACAGGACAAAACATATGTATATGACATAAATAGTCTTGGAATCTTGGACACTATTGATACTATTCCAAATTTAAAAGGTGAAACTGGGTCACATTTCTTCTTGTACCAGTATGTGGATTCACATTCTGTTCAACCAGCAATCTGCCTCAAAACTTATTCGTATAACTTATCTTTTGTCGTTTTTTTTTTCATTCTCCTCAGGGCTTTGTGCATTCTCTCCAAGTTTGGAAGGGTGCTTCTTGGCTCTTCCTGCTAGCATCTCCAAGGGATCTGTGTTGTTGTACAATGTCATGGACCTGCATTTACATTGTGAGGTTATGGAATATGATATTCTTTTTCATACATGACAGAAAGATGGTAAAATATGTATGACGTCACTTCATTTTGTTATCTAGATGAATTAATACTTCTGAAAAATGTTTTTCAACATGAATTCAGAGTTTTTGTTTTAATAAGCCTGAGTGTTCTTTTTTACCAGTAATGTGGAAGATTTGTGGTTTTGTTCCTCTTCTATCTTGTTGGTCAATTTTCATGGTTCTGTTTCATCTACACAGCCAAAAGTATGCAGTAGAGGCAGCACACAAATTAGAAAAATAAATGTTTTATTTTTTATTTTTTGGAAGACATTAAAAGTAAAATGGTGTAAAGTGGATCCTGCAGTATGCTTCTTTAGATGCCTGCTTTCAAATCCTCAAGAATCAGGATGCTTTGCAACTGCATTTTGAAAATATGTAGTCATATTTCAAGAGTATCTGAATTGAATTTTTTATTTTAAAAATAAAGGATCAATCTTCATGGAATTTTATGCCTTTATTTAGTTGTATTAGATATGCAGCAAAAGATACTTCTTTTTCCATCTCCTAATTCTATGTATATTTATATTTCTTGAATTTGAACTACAGATAGATGCTCATCGAGCCCCACTTGCTGCAATGGCTCTTTCTTCCAATGGGACGTACATAGCAACAGCATCTGAACAGGGGACCATTATAAGAGTCCATCTAGTCTCAGAAGCAACTAAGGTGAAGAATAGCAAAAGAATTTCTTTTATCAAATTGAAGGGAAACAGTTCCTTTTTATCAAATCCAAGTAATATTTGTTGACCAGCACCTTGGATCTCAAACATATGTGTATATTTATATACTGCATAAGAATTACTGTTCCATCATCTCCTTTCCTGACTTATAACCTACAGCCACTGAAGCAAGTAGTGGCAGTACTTTTAATTGACTGTACTTTATTACAAGTAATATGGAGGTCTAATTAATCCTTCTTTGGCAGTCTTATAGCTTTCGAAGAGGGACATATCCCTCAACTATATATTCTTTGTCATTTGGGCCATCTACGCAACTGCCAGATATTCTTGTGGGCACAAGTTCTTCAGGTTCTGTTCATGCTTTCTCTCTGGGGTTCTCTATTTATCAAAGGTGAGAACTAAAACTGAACATTTCCTTTCGTAACAACTGAACATTCTTTAGTTAGCACATTGATGTTGCATGTACCACATTAAGTCTTAATATATAAGGAAACTGACTCACGTATTTGCTTAATGTTGTTGCACTTTTCTCATGTCTTTAGATATGTAAAGCTCTAGGCCTTCAGTAGCATTTGCTTATTCTTTTATTTGGTATTTATCTTCCTTCAGCTAGTTGCAATTGTGGTTGCCCTAAAAGAGAAAGGAAAAGCTGTATTAATAAAATTATGTTCTGACAAATGATTAATCCTTATTTTATTTGTTGCATAAGTCTCACTGTTCAATCTTCGTGTCGAGTAAACTTATAAAAGAGTCTGTTCAAAAAAGTGAATTTACAAAAGAAGAAGATAAAGAGGCAGTTCCTTTCAAATCCTTGGTGTTCACAATGTTCATGCAGTACACTTCTTTATGTTTTCCAATGTTAGAGAATATTTTTTCATCCTTCTAATTTTCATTTGTAAATTCAAATCTCTTATTTCTCTCTCTTAGCAGAAGCAAAAGATCAGGAAGTTTTCTTGGATCAATTATACCTGGCTCTGTTACGGATGCATTGGATCCAGCCCATCATGATGTACTTCATAATGCTGCACCAGCAGGAGTCAAAAGGTGGACCAGTTTATAACTTACAATACTGTATGCATTAGTACATTTTTACCACTGGTCTACTGACAACACAGCACCATAGGTATGGCATATCATGTGAATGGGATGAGACTTATCTGGGCAGTCTGGCTCAGATTCTAAAAGTCAGTTGACTTCTGGTTGTTTCAAACTCTATTTTCTACTTCTAGGGGAAAAGTTTAGTCCTTTATGGATTCTCCTTTAAACTGAGTGCGGTCTTTGTCTACGTAACTGAACATGTCTTTGATATTAAATTATGATATAGGCGCTTCTGTCAGACCTTGTGGAAACAATTGTCTGGATGAATACACCTTAATTTCTGGCCAGCCTTGTCTTTTGTTGCTAATTCTAAGTTCCATAGAAGATTAAGTTTGTTATGAAATCTTTTGGTTATTGGCTTTTTGGTGTATTTAAGGGTGAATTTCAAAAACATTGCGGTGTGATGCACAATGTGCACCGTGCACTTTTGGAATATAATACAGACCAGAGTTGCAGATTGAGATTTAAGAAGCAACAATATGTTTGACTGCTTTGTAATTATGAACTGCTTTCCAGTTAAGTAAGAGAAGTTATTGATAAGAATCCATTTTACAGTATGATTATTGTGTTGCTGTGGAACTGTGAACTTTCCAGTTAAGCAAAGGAGTTTGTTTATAAGAGTGGGTCTTTATTCTTTCAACTGGCCCATGGATTAGGATTTTGGTCATAAGCCATACCTGGGTTGTGGACATTTGGCAATTCAGATTTCACTTCTGATATAATATCCTTTCTTGCTATTGTTTTATCTTTAGCCCATTAATTCCTAAAGTCAAGTTTTGTGTTTTATTTTTTAAAATTATTTTTTTAAAATTTTTAACAGCTATGCCGTGATTCGAAAGGTTGACAAGGTTGCTGATACATCAACTTCAGAAATTGTGGCTTGCAGGTTCGTTACCGGTTGTTGTCTGTAGTCTTATAAAGTTAAGTCTCTTCTTTGGTATTCCTTTGTTGACCCTCCCCATTCTCAATCCCTTTCTACAACTTAGGGTTCTGAATTAGCCAGTTGAATAATGTTCTCAACAGTAAATAATGTACAAAGCATTTTTATGCAAAACGTTTTTCACATGCCCAACAGGAGTGGCTCTCATTTGGCCATGAACTACTGCTGGATTTCCATGAATGATTAAATTAGTTTGAAGTACAAACTCTCATGTTTAAATTTCTGGTTCGTGATCAACTGGTTTTCATTGATGACCACAAAAACTTGACGTGCCATCTCTCTGAGTTATAAGTAAAAGTACATTATTTACCAATATGCACTCTTGGGGAAGATGTGGAGGCAACAAATTCCTCACACCTTTGTGCAGTGTAGGTTTTGAATACTGTTTGAATAAAGCTACTTAATAATCTTTTCTTTTTGAGGTTTGTCTGCTTATGTTTTATTTATTACAGTTGTCGATTATTTCTACCTTCTTATTGGCTTGAATTCTTCCTATTTGGACTTTCATTTCAGGGCAACTATTTCCATTATAACATACAATGGGTACTTCCAGGAGTACAACTTAAGCATCAACAATCAGAACGAGTTCTCATGGAGTCTGGAGCGTGAATTCAAGCTACTGACTGTCATCTCAGACGATGCCATCAGCTCCTGATGAAACTGTTGAATGGATCATCTCTGAAACTCGGGGAAGTGCGCACTATTATTCAAGCCCAGCAGACAGAATTGTGCTAGTATGCTTCGAGGTCTAGTGACAAGCCTTGAAGGATCATGTAAATTGGGGGCAGTAATTGTTGACATGACAAGGTAACAGTAGGTTAGTATTGGGCATATTTCGTGTCGGGATCTCGTCCCAGATAACATATGATTAGTTAACAATTTGTGTGGTGTGCATAAAAGTGAAGATTTCTACATATATACATGTGAATAGTTGAACCCTTTGACCCTTCCCAAAATATGTATCTCTAAATTGATCATAACGAGCGGGTACAGTTTTTCAATAAAAGAAGTAATTATTTGGTTGGTCATAAATGCTTTTGTATCGTTTATGTAATGGTCATCAATTGTAAGTGCCCTCAATTGTTAGTGTGTATGTTTCCATCGGATCAAGAGCAATGACATTGTGTTCCAGCAGCACAATTGTTTTTGTATTGAAGCTCTCATAACGTGGGAGGGGTAATTTTCTGAAAGTTCAAAATTAATTCAAACCATTTTAGGGCTTAAGTTAACATACATACCATAGGTAAGATTAGGGGTAGTTATGGTCCGGATTGGATTGGTTTCATCTCAAAATCACGGTCGAACCAATTACAATATAATGGTTTGAATCGGTTTGGTTTTGATAAAAGTCATGAAGGAAACCGAACCAAATCAAACCAATTTAAGACATTTAGTTCGATTTGGTTCAGCCGGTTTGGGCCTAAAGCCCTATTTTCATTCCTTTCACATTTTTTTTAACATTGTTAGTCCAATTATAACCAACAAATTCACAATTTGCTCTATATTTAAATCATTTTCTAGGAAGAGTCCCTTCTTTGATTCTCTCGTGCTTTTAGGCTCTTTTTTTATTACAATCATTTGGGGTTCATTTAACCAAAAAGTTCATTTAACCAAAAAGTTAGATACATACAAAAGCTAATTTTAGGGTTCGGTTAACACCCCAAAATATTAGCTCTGTTCATTGTAATTTGTATTCCCTATTTATTAACCTTATTGGAGATGCATGCTTTATGCAAAAACCATGGAAAAGGTTTCTTATCTTTTTAAACACTGATGTCTAAACCACAAACTGACTTTCCTGCCTGCACTTCATTGATCTACTCCATTATCTTTACAAGAAACTTCTAAGAACGAACATTTTATTAACAATAGCAAAGTTATGGGCACATGAATCTACAACTACCATTCTTTATACTGAGTGCTGGACATGGTGGTGCAAGCTTTTTCACCCCTCCTTTCTGCACCAGCATTGGTCCATCATCAGAAAACTCATCGTATGACCTCATATCAAGTTAGTCGAGGCGAATTCCTCCAGTGCCTCCAAGAACTTGGCAGACCTGTGACCTCTCTGACGACAACTCAGTAGCCTGATTGAAACTGCTCTCTCCTCTATAACAAACATCCGCCACATCCAGTCTTTTGGACTGCAGATGCTCAAATGCGTTCTTAATGGTTTTGCTGAAATCCAAATTCTTCATAAAGCTTTCTTCCCATATAGTGTCAAGAGACAACTTAAATTTTGAAAGTGAAGCAACCATTTCTTCATCTTCGTTTTCACACGTGATAATTTCCTGCCCCGTCCTCCAGATGTATGAGCTAAGGGCTTGTCTTAGTGATTCAAGGGCATTGACTCTTGAGAAAAGAGTGTACATCCTTTGAAGGTCCTCAATGCAACTCCCATCCATCAGCATTGTGAACCCCTAGATATATATATATATATATATATATATATATATAACAGAAACAATAATTAATTAAATTCAATACATAAGGGGAGAAATGATTAAGGGCGCAATCATAACCAGCTAAAAACCTTGTCGAGGATGGCGGATATATGGCAATCCAGAAGCTGCTTTTCTGCAATTCCAACTAATGACTTTTCTGTACTTGCATCCATATAGTGTAAACATCTTTCATGTTATTCACGCAACCTTGTCTGCAATATGTCACACAAAAATTACAAAGGTAGGCATAACTCATCTTAGGAGGATGGGTTAAAACAGGGCGGACTAATCTGAATAAATCACTGTCAAAAAAACAATTTGAAAGGAGAGAGAGAGAGATTACTCACCTCCACATGCTTCAAGTAATCTGGAACATCGGAATGCTGCATGTATTTCACGCCTTCAGCAGCATAAAATTCAGATGTCCATTCAAGGTATAAAGCGTTTCCAAGCTTTCTGAGTAAATTCCTAAAGCTTTAAACATCTTCAGAAGACGGCTAAGGAGAGTCTTATCCACATCTTCACCTGATCTGGAAAATCAGAACCACAACGTTGCAGATTAATTAGTTGCAAAAAAGTAAACGTAAAAATTCAATAGAAGCCTTGTAATTTGTTAACAGATAACGTTCAAGTCTCACATCTTGATGCACCTTGTTGGAAAATCCTATAGAAACATGGGTAAAGAGGACATGGTGGAACCTAAATGCACTGCGTGAGGAAACATGTTTATGTCCAACTTCATTGTAGAAAGGGGTCGGGGTCAGGGTTGGGGGAGAGAGAGAGACCAAGGCTGTAAGTTACTAGCTAGAACCAAAGATCAGGATGTTGAAAGGTGCGCGGAAATGTCATATTTGACTATGACCGGGAGCCTCATATCCAACTATGGCTGAGTTGCCGATTGCATAGAAAGCCTCCGCCACCATTCAGAGACCAAAAGAATCACTATCTATTCTATAAGAACTTGTAAACAGATGTCAAAATCTTTCCCACAACAAAGAATCTTTCTCATTGGCTAAATGATAGAATACAGTTTCCCTTTCTTTATCGACCATCCTTAAAAGGCAAGTGACGATGTCAGACTCAACTGTTGGAGATCGGAAAAGATGTTTGCGGAAAAGCTGCAACCCCATGTCCCACAATTTAGGCAGCTTTGCTGTTGGTTTCCCTTCAAATCTAAAAGGAGATAAGGCTGAACCCATAATACGATTGATCAAGGACATCCGTTCGGAATGATCCTGCCAGCATGTGTCGAGCAGGATAAGAGAGCTACAGAATCTGGGGTTTGGTACTGAACTAAGGATTCCAATTCTGCAGCTATGTGTCTCTCGCACTCATCATGAATCCGTTGATAAAGACGACTTGATCCCATCTCGAGCCGAGAAACCTCACCTAATAGACTGAATAAGAAGAGAAAATATTACATGTTTTGTCATAACGCATCCAAGTTGCAAAAAGCTATTGTATTTAAAACAAATAGAAATGTGGTTGATTCTACCTCAATAAGATTCAAGCAATCAAGAGAATGGAGAGCAGCTTCTTTCTTTAAGAATATCTTGGAAATGGCCGACTTAACCTCTGTCCAAGTTTCCTCTTCAAAATTTTCGGGTATGGTGGGGAAAGCTGTGTAGAGGCAAAACGCATAAATGGACATAAAATGTGTCAGTGAGGTCTATAAACATGTATTGTAAATTGAAACTATCAGATTCAAATTTCTGACATGGGAAAAAGCTTTGTTGGTTGCCCAAAGGTTATTAGGCATGCAGGACCAAATGAACTAATAACTTATAATTAAGACAAACGAAGAAAAATACACACACACACACACACATATATATAGCTAATCCAAATTCAAACTCCCTCACATCTGCATACATTGTCAGACAAATTTATAGACACTAATCATATATATACAGTCCCCTTCTATTGAGGGATCTCTCAAATAATTTTATTTGAGGGACATCCTTTAGGGTACCCTCCAAATTTTTTTTTTCCAATAATCTAAACCATATATTTTTTAGGTCTTCATTCATAGATCATCCTTACAAAAAATTAGACAAATCGGAAACCGTTTCGATATCCAATTGTGTCCTATAAAATCAACGAACACGATGCTTCAAGAAAGTACTAAAATTTCAATAACTCAATTGAATGATCAAATGATATCAGATTAAGTGATTTTTTGTAGAGGAGATCTTTGAATGAGTATATACAAAATAGACGGTTTGGATTAGTAAAATACAATCCAAGGTGGGCCTTACAAGCAGTGTCACTCAAATAAGCTTATTTGAGGGATCCCTCAATAAAAGCTCTGTGTGCATATATATGTATATATATGCATTACGTGAAGGTGGATGTGTGAACATGAGAAGGAATTTTATAACCAATTAATCCATGCTACATGCATAATTTTAGAAGAGAAAATTAGACTTAAAAGATGGTTGAGAGAGAGAGGGTTTCATAAAGAATATAAATATATACAAAATAGAAAACAACAAGACATAACCTAGAAACTGGAAATTATTATCAGTTACAGAAGAATTGAAAAATTAGGCAAACAGAAAACGGCGTTTGGGAAGGAGAACCCTTACGATCCAAGATTATCATGACGCGCTAGCTGCTTCATAGGCTGACGGCGGACAGAGGACTTTCTCTGGTTTCTTTTCTATTGATCCATCGAATCATTTGTACCAAAGTGAATCATATTTAAATGAAATAAAATTACAATTATATTTGCATTCAGACAAAAAAAAAAACAGGAACCTAATAATACGAAGGATAATATTGAACATCAAATATGCCTAAGAAACCAATTCTATGTCGCATCTTTCAGAAATCAGAAACTCCACGAGAAGGAACCTCTTTTGCAATCACAACGTCGTACTCCGGATCGAAGAAGTTTTCAACTCCATGAACAATGAGTCGTCCATTGTTGAAGAGAACCCAGTCAGTGACTTTGACTTGGTTAAGAGAAGGGTATGATGCACGGGTGCCGGGTAGGGAAGTAACAACGAGAGGATGACTCGGGAGAAGAGTTTCGACCTTGGAACCATGATGAAAAGGTGCCTCCATGGTATGTGGGTCGATCTTGAATGGCACAATATGGTACTTGAGGAGTGTCAATGGAGGAGGCTGAGGATACTTGGAGTTAAAGAAAGCTTGGTCATGAGGGCAAAAGAGCGTAAGAGTGGTGCTGTGGTTGATTAATTGGGTTCGGATCAAAGGCTCAAGAACAGTTTCTAGGGTTAGTGCCATGGCACCATAGCCTTTGTGAGAGAGTACAGCTGACACCCAACCAAGATTTATGGCTGATGATTTGGGTTGGTGTATTTTTTGATACGGTTGGGCACCTTGAATGGTTATAAGGAGAGTTGATGCAAGTAGAAGGAGAAAACATGATATCGCAAACTTGGAAGCCATGGGAGAAGAAAACAAAAAAGGCAAAGCTGCTAGGTTGCTATATATAATTGCTTGCGTCTATAGGATCTGAGTGTGTGAAACGAAACCAGAAGGGTGAGGCTATATATACTGATTGCTATCCTTATCCCAATCCCAATCCCAATACCATAGAGATTTCTATGCCTTTTTCTT